TATATAAAAATATATAAATATATAAATAAATAAAAATAAATAAATAAATAAAAATAAATAAATATCAGTGTCCTTTGGAATTTCTGCTTCTACCAGCATTAGCATTAAATGGACAAAACTTACCAATCCGTATGCTGTAATCTTTTATGAGCTCCAAGGACCACTGGATTGCAGCCTCATACTTTTCTTTGGCTTTGCACTATAACAAATATGAGACAGATTGTCCGTCACTGTGTCAGGAAAACATAATTTTATTAAGTGTATAATTTATGTGAAATTCTTACCACCAGCTCATTAGCTTCTTTACAGTCAAAAGGCTTCAGGGATTTCAGAGCCACAGTAAACCTACAAGAACACAAACATACAACTTAAAAATTTAATTCCTGATGATTTCAAAATTCACTCATCAATGTTTTGTTTAAATATCTCAATTTGTGAAGCCAGGTTTAATGACATCACAACAAATTATTAAGGGCTTTTTAATACCACATCTAACTGCACAGCATACTTTCATGACTTTCAATCATTTTGGGACACCACTGCTGGCGATCCCCAACAACCAGGTGACCTGTGGAGATCCTTGTTGCCTAGGGAATCTACGACAATCCTGTACACTTTAAAAGTGCAGAGGCAGTAGGCAACAAAGTTTTACTACCTACCCTTTCTTTTTGTGAATCATTGGGTCATCAATGAACATGATGCTGGCTTTTTTCTGCTTACGGTTCACACTTTTGACCTGCAGAGTAAAATATTACAGGTCTTATTGTGGCTCATCAATGTTTCCCATCCATTATGATCTTTCATCTAATTGCCCCAGTGATCCTCATCTAGCTTACTTCATGTAAAAAGTTAAGAGTTTAACAGCATAGCTATACTCGGCAAAGTTTTTATTAGTGCTGAAATGATTAATGAACTAATCAATTCAAGGTGTATGACATGAATTGGTAAACACATTTTAAAAGAAGCCAAAAGAAGGCCAAAAATTCAATAGTTCAAGCTTCTCAAATGTCACGAACTGCTGATTTCCTGGATATAGGCAACACATCTTAATAAGAAATTGTGTCCTGTTCCATTTAAAAACGTGTTTATGCAAACTCAATGATCCACACAGCTTTCTGCACTCACCAATGCTGGCCAGAACGGATAATTTCTAAATTTGTACCACACAAACACTCCCTCTGAAATGGATGGGGGCTCTGAAAGACAAAAACAATCCATTTAAAAGTATACAATGTGAATACACACAATCTAGTCCATATTTAGTCCTTGTAGACTTTATTTGGTCACAGCAATCTCTCTCACTTTTGTCCCCTTCCATCAAGAAACTTGGAAGCTCCTCCTCCTCCTCCTCACTTTCCTCATTTTCCTGGAAGGACAATGACGGCAGCTGTTCCTCCTGGTGATTCAGCTCTATTGATAGATCTGAAGACAGCAAAGACTCATCTTTTTGGGGGAAGGGGGGTGGACCACAACAATATAGAATTAGAGTAGATAATGTTGCTCACCTGCATTACTTAAAAACATGAGCTGCTCTACAAGCAGTATTAAATCCACACAGAGCACAACACATTTAAGACGGATTCTGCAAACATGGTTTACATTTTTTATAATGCTTTAGATTGGGAGGGTGATACATTTCTCAAAAAGTATTATGACACAGCACGAGACAGACGTGAAGAAGACACTACCTGGCTCTGCTGCATCAGGCTTGTCCAGTTCAAATCTTGGTCTAGAGCGTTCGGATGACTGAGTAGTAGTATCCCTTGTCTCAATCTTCCGCGTCCTGCCACGCCGACACTTGCCTGGAGGACCGTTGGTTTCAGTGCAGGTCTGTGTTTGTTCCTTTGTCCCCCTTTTTCTAACTTGTCGTGGTTGTGAAGCGTGACCCCTCCCACGTCTGCTTTGAAATTTGGTTTTGGAGCATGGTGAATCTACCTTTGATGTCTACAACAGAACAGATATTAAAAAGGAGTTAAAGAGTGTCACTGAAAATAACTGTACAGGCTCAAAGTGTATTTTTTAGTGTAAATATAATCAAACACCTCTAAATGAGTGATGAGTTCTGTGTATTCGATCTCCACTTGTTTTGTTGTTGGGGAGGACTTTGAAATGTTGGACAGGATGTCAGTGGAAGAGCTGTGAACTGGGGTAGATGTCAGGCAAGATTCTTCTGTCTCTCCAGCTTGTCCTCTGGCTCTTTTTGGAGTACTTGGTAAAGAACTTGCAGTGCACTGGCTGACAATGGCCAAATCACTGCCTGGCACAGCATTCGATTCCTCTGTAGCCTGTAAAGTGTCTAAGGCGGCTTTCTTTGTTGGCGTCTTTTTGGGTTTCCTTTTTCTTGTTTTCTGCAGTCCACCTAAAAGATCAATCAGAACCATTTGTCTATTGTCAGTCAGAGTGGCTTCTTATGCGTCTTTGAAGAACCCAGACTCAGCTGACTCCCACCAAAATTCAGAAAGTGAAATGACAAGATTACCCGTCATTGTTACGAGAGTTGGTGCAGCCCTCTCTCTGGAAAGAGTTCCCTTGTGTCCACTGGATCAGATGTCGCCAGGGCTGTCAGATAGGTAAAGGGTTAGGCAGCTGTGTGACAAAACAGAGGAAAGTCAACCAACCTACAATGTTTGGGCCTTATCGAGTAAGACCTACTTTCGCTTTGAGGTCGGGCCATGCTGGCACTCAGATAAATACCATATGGGCTGCAGTAATTGCATGCCTATGTTTACGCCAGGTAAATTCACCAAAATAAATTAAACCCTGTCGACGCAGACAGGATCCAAACACGCGGCAAACCAGTTCAATATTTTAGTAGTGTTGTGTCCAAGATAACGCACCATATTAACAACAGTGCCTGCCCCCTGCAACGTGACTGCAACACACAGTTCACATGAGCATTAAAGGATTTAAATAAGCAATAAAAAGCCCCCCCACATGTGCAAACACCACGCTAAACACCTTTAACACTGTAATATGAATAATGTACTGCGGGCTAACACGGTAGCCTGACAGAGATAACGCTAACGTGTTGCTAGCTGGGACATGACACAAGTGTGCAGATAGAAGTCAAGTAAACAAACGCATCCACACACAAACAAACAAACCCCGAGCAATAAAAGCAGCGATATATTACTGCATAACGCATAATACGGAGCATAAATATATATATTTAAAGGAGTAAATATGAGTTAGCTAGCCTTACAGCTATTACTCAGCTCAATCTTTACACAGGTACAGTTAAAGTTATCAAACACCTCATGCAGCAGTTTGCACATACAGGTCTACAGGCTATGAGATGAAGCGATTGTCAAGTTGTGACCGCAGGCAAACATAGTGTAACTAACTGGTACAACAAGCCACTCACCTTAAAACCTTGACTCCCACCGTTTGTTTGGGTTGTTAACGTTAGCTAGCAGCCAAGGAGAGCAGACCCCGTGCATCGTCGAGCCTGCACACATGCACTATGTCTCCAGTACTCGGGGGGGGAAAGAGCTCCAAAGTTGTGATAAAGTATGAAATATTTAATATAACTAACTACTCGCACACTGTACGAGAACTGAACCTTGAACTACTCGCGGATCATATCTTAAATACTGGTTGTCTTGACGACATGTAGCTTACCTACCGCCGCCTACTGTACCGGAGTGGGAGGTCCAAATAATGTCAATACATATCAGAACCACTTTTATTGGGCCAGGTTTTACCTTGCTCTCAATGTACAAACACAAATTAACAGTATAAATAAACAGAACAAGTTCAACAACAACAAAAGACATAGACTTATATGTACAGCTATACAAACAAACATTTGTAGACAGTACGATGGGCAATGGTGCAAAGGATGCTGAAATAAATATTTTACATGCAGGTATCTTTAGGAACATGGGGTATGTAAATATGACAGTAATAAATGCATCAGTTCCCAACATGGAGATGGAGATACTCCAGGTCACCGTGGGGTAAAATCTAATTACTGTGAGAGACAGGACCAAAATCCAACAACAAAAATTCTCTTTACTTTTCAATTTACTAGATTTTGTCTATGAATAAAAACTCATTTGGACTGCTAACAACAACAAGGGTTTGTAAGAAAACATTTCAAGGGGGCGACAAGCCCAGGTCCATAGGTTTTACATCATACAATAGGCCTACAAGTAACTTTACTATTACTTGAAGTGTAGAGTTAAAAAGCATGCCCAAGCCATACTGTGTCCTATTGCACAGTCCAAATATTCCATCACCTTCTTTTCCCAGCATCCTTTATTCTCAGATATTTGCGTTGTGCACCTCCCATTCCTTCTGTCACTCTTATTAATAACTTTGTACCAATCTTTGCCAGCTGTTTTGTAGCCTATGTTAATTTCAGTCAACACCTACAAGTGCAGGAACCAGGCAAAACAGTGCCATGAACATTATATAGATGTATTGAACTCTTCTCTTTGTTTGTGCTGTCCTATCTATAGTGACAGCTGAATTTCACAGTGGACATTTTGACATATATGACACATGTCATAACATAACAGGTAATAACATAATAATGGCTCTGTTCTATTCAAGTGTCCCAGTAAGTTATGGCAGTGTGACAGTGAGCCAACATGAACCATATCAGGACCCTGATGGCAATGATCTATCATTCATTTTATTATTTATAGTTTCTACTATAACATGTCAAAATGTGTTTCTTGAAATTTAAGTCTAATTGGCAAATGTGTAACTTTTTAATACCTTTTTTATTTTATATTACTTCAAATCTGAAAAATGTCCCTATTGTTCACTCAGCTGCTGGATGCCTGTGTGTCTCTGGCAATCACTTTATGACAACAGTAGAGGGCACTGTGTAACCACTCATTAACTGCTCTCTTTAATACAACGACTCCTTAAAACACTTATCTTTACTTTACTTTTACCTTTTCCTACATCACTTCTCCTTGACTTGGCACACCAGATACACTCACACACTTAATTAAATCAAAGGACCAGCCAGTTGTCCCTATGGACTGAGAGTTTGACTAACAGAGACAATTGCAGGTCACTTCTCTAAACCATGGGAAAGAAAAAAATAGGTTTCTGCAGGGTCCCGACATGTGTGCACATATTGAAGATTACAGACGTCATAATACTGATCAGTTTCCTCGTTTGTCAACATTCACGTCCCCATCACAGTTCAGGCCACGCTTCATGCAACATCCCTCTGTAACTTGGTGATTTTATTCATCTACAGCCCCTCTACCCCTAAAAGCTTTACCCTCATCAGCAGCCTTCTTCATTAAAAGAGAAATGAGCCATAGCGAGGATTTGAGAAATTCTGAGGTAGTGAGTTTAAGCTCCCCCAAGTTAAGGTTTTAATTGTTTGGGTTTTTTTCTAATTTCATTCATTCAGTAACTGTTCAGTAATATTTTCTACAATGTATTTGCTGTTTTTTTACCTCTACACTGCCAGCAATACGAATCTGATGGGGAAGTGCTTATTTTTTGTTTAACTGTAAGTAGACAAGTTGCTGTATTCATTCTAGAAATACTGGAAAATAACCCCGGTCTGTAAGTTTATTTTGATTTTACAGTATTATGTCTCTTTAAATCATTCCCAGAGAAAAGAAACACCACAAGACTCAATGAGTTAAACACACACATCATCCTAACAACATCCCACAATAATAAATAATATCCCACATCTCCGTCTAAAAAGTCCAGTTTTGTCTTCCCACAGGCAGCAGCGTACCTGCCACTCATCTGGAGCCTCTGGACCTGTATTGGCCTGTGGTTGTTGAGGGACAGGGTGGCCCCGCCCTCCTCCAGATGTGCGCCTCTCTCCTGTCTCTCCAGTCCGCTGCTGGCTTCAGCAGAGTGCGGAGCCTCAGGAAGTCAACAGGAGGGCACGGATAGTCACACTTGAAGTATAAACAACGAGGAACTGAATCCCTTACCCCTGCTCTGCACCAGCCAGATCTTACTCGATCTAATGAGTCGTGACTTTGTCGGTGTAGCCCTTGAGGAGGAATCCCCCCCCCCCGGGGGGGTTTGGTTTTACCTGGCCAGCCTGAGACGCCCAGAGCTAAATGGAAGAGAGGCAAGGCTGAGTGGCGTTGCCAGTCGGTAGCGGCTGTTGACATGAAGAGGCGCAGAGCAGCCTCTGCGTGAACTGGGAGCGGTTCTGCTGCTTTCTCTCCAAGACCTGTGTGATCTTTTAGGGTTTGTTTATGACAAGTGGATTCCGGAGGGTTTTTCTGGTAAATAAGTTAAAACGAGATAATACTGTCTGGATTTTTTTTGTGTGTTGTTTTGGTCCTTTTTTGGTCGAGGAATGGGATGTTAACCGGTTTTCCTAGATCTATGTGTTTGAAGTGGCGTGAGGTTTTGCGTCTCAGCCTGAGAGAAGCCACTGCAGGGGCTTTGGGTTAATTTGTAAATCGATCCGGTGTCTTTTGAATGTGAAGCAGTCTAGCTATTAAGGTTCTTTCTCTCTCTCTCTTTCTCTCTCTCTCTCCCCCTTGTTTTTTTCACCCTCCAACATGAATTTTCTTACGTGCTGGGACCTTAAAGGAGAAGGGTCTGTGGCAGCGGAGCAGAAAAATAGGGTTAGGTTTAGAATTTCTATCTCTTCAATAGGCAAACGCTTCAGAAAAGGGTGTGGCCCACATCAGATCGCGCGCATACACCTTATAACAGTAGTCCTGGTACATATCTTTTATCAAGAAAGAACTTAATGATTCTCATGTCAGACAACCGTGTTACCACACCGAGACCCCCCCGGCGCACGTTCTACATTGGAGTATCTAATAGGAGATGATAACTGGTTTGTTTTGTGTTTTTTGTCTTCACCCCTTTTCGATTGGCTCATCGGTAACTCTTCATATAGTGGACTAATCATTATC